CAATATCAGCCTATGTCATCGGATTTATGATCACTCCACTCCACCTTTGCCATCTTAGTGGGTAAATGAAACATTTGCTCTGATAGCTCTGGTGCCATGGCCTTCTGTTTCTTCCATCTCTTAATGATCATGACTTCTTTCCCCACTTCATCTAGGCAACTTGCATGGTCCCATTTTACATCTGAAAATAATTCTTAATATGCTCTCTGAAAAGCCCTAAAACAAATATGTGCTGCTCTTTCCATTTTTTTAAATGTAGAGAAACAATCCTTTGTTATTTTTTAAAGTGGATTTGAGCAGACTGAGTAAACCAAGGGAGGTAGGAAACTCCTTAATGGAAGCAGAAGAGGGCATGGATATAAAGAGAAATGATAACAGCCCAGGAGCTCTAGACGCAGAGTTTCTTAGGGAATGTGGCAGCCTATTAGCTGGAGAAATAAGCCTGGATCAGATCCTGAAGGGCCTTGAGTCTTACAATAAAGAATTAAGATTTATCCTGTAGTTGATAAAAAGCCATGAAAAAGCATTTGGGCTGAATAACTGCTCGCTGAAATTTCTCTAGTGTGGTCATGGTAAATGCACTGAATGGGCAGACTGGATGGAATTTACAGCAATTGAAAGAAGAAATTATAAGTCCTAAACTAAATCAATAGTAGTAAGGGAAGCGGGTGGCTGAATTTGAGAGATACATGAAAGGTAGAATAGACAGGATTTGGGGACCAATAGAATTCTGGAGAAAGATAACAGGGTAAGTCACAAGTCCCTACTTGGGCAGACAGTTGGTGCTATAATTCACACTCAAGACAAGAAGAAGCAGGCCAAAGTAGGGTCTACTGAGTTTGGGGCATCTGGCGGAGATACAAACAAAGATGGCAGCTGAAAATATAAATCGGGAACGTAGGAGAAAGATCTTAGAGACTTAGAGTGGAAATCATCGTCACAGAGTTGAAGTCTCTCAAACAGAAGCAATCACTCAGAGAGATTACGTATAGAAAGGAGAAGGAAGTAAAGAAAAAGTTGAATATTGAATCTTGCCCTCACCTGAGTTCTACCCCGTTACCTCTCACCAAAAGTACTGCGTTTCTTCTAATTCATGTTCTCCTAATGCGTTTCCTTTCCTCCAGCATATTTCTTCTCAAATACAATCAACAAATTCATATTCTGCTTCTAACATCCTCTTACTCAGAAGCCTTAAATAGTTCTCCATTATCTACAGATGAACCCTCAAATCCTTGGCCTTAAAGCCTCCTACCACTTTTCTTTCCACTCCTCTCACATAAAAATGAGTTTCTGTCAAATTGATCTTCTCATTGTTCTACCATCATTTTTCCCCATACCATCAACCTATTTTTTTAATCTACTTTCTCTTCTCTGTCAAAATCTTAAACGTCTCTTTCCACAGAACTCAATTCAGTTCCTTTTCTGTGAAGAACACCTTCCTAGGTCATCAGAGAACAGAGCAAACTCTACATTAAAAAAAATTTTTTTTTTCATGGCACTTACTGTCTTTAACACACGCTTGACTATTTTTAAGTGCTTATCTGCAAATGATACTTATTCTGAATTTCATTAGGTTTTCTGGTTCAGTTTAAAGCTAGAAGCACAGAAGTTTCATGAGGCCAGAGACTTGTCTATTTTATTCAGTGCTATATTCCGAGAGCACAGAACTCTTCCTGACACGGAAACATTTGTTGAATCAATAAATACTCCTTTATATTTCTTATAATATCTAGCCGAGAGCTCCTCACATAAAGGTTACTGGACAATTATTTACTAATTGCTTATTTAATTTCTTGGCTTCGTAAAGATAGACATGTGAATAATGAAAATAATTTTCTTCGAGAAGGCATGAGAAAATTGAGTTTCTTTAGGAATAAGAACAGTTTTTAAACGATTTCCAAAAAAACCCTCCATGCTCTATATGTAAAATGTTACTCTCCCACTTCCTATACTTGTTTTAAAGAATATATTAAAGAATGTGACCTTATTTGGAAATACAGTCGTTGTGGGTATTATAAGATGCAGTCATATTGGAGTAGGCTGGGCTCTTAATCTGCTATGACTGGTGTCCTTATAAAAAGGGGAAATTTGGACAGACACACACATAGGAAGAGTATCTCTGTGAAGATGAAGGCGGAGATAGGGGTGATGCTTCTACAAGCCAAGGACCACCAAAGATTCAGCCGTCATCAAAAGCTACGGGAGAGACTGGAACAGAAGAAATCACCCCTGCTGAGGCCTTGATCCAGGACTTTAGCCTACAGAACCATAAGACAGTAAATTTCTGTTGTTTATGCCATCTACTTTATAGCACTTTGCTACGGCAGCCCTAGCAAACTAACACATTCAGAAAATCTGTCTTTCAGAACCTTAATAAGAAATCTTCTATGAGTGGCCTATGAGAGCTCTGCCCGTGGTCCTCCTTAACTTCTGGTTCCCAGGGCTAGTAGATAAAATCCAGCCCATCAGTGAAATCTGTGGTTTCCTACCCACAGTTTGATGTCTTAGATGCAGAATTATTATGCTTGTAGCAGATACTAAACATGATGATAATTATCTTCTATTAAAACTCTGCTATGTTCTTGGTACTTTATACTCATTCAATCCTCATTACAACCTTTAAGATAACATTTCTCTCCCCATTTTACAGACAGGGAAACAGAGGCTCAGGCTGGCTAAGTTACTTACCCAAGATTATACTGCTGTTGTGTAATGCAGTCAAGATTTGAGCTCGCACAGATCTAGTTCCAAAGCCCAACCTTCTACTATCACCACAGTGCAATTTTCATAAAGGTATGGAAACAAAATAGCTAAATGTGTCATATCCTCAGATATAAGGCCACCCTTTGAATCCTTAAGGTTAGAAATAAAAAGCTCTACCTTCCTGGCTTTAGATAGAGGGTTCCTAGTTAAGGCCCTTGGATGGCAAAGGCACTGCCCTCAATTCCTTACAGATGAAATTGGTAACGTGGCCAATAACGATCCTTCTCATTAATAAACCACGCATCTCTGTGATAAAAGTAGACTTTTGGCCTAATTTCTATCACAAAATTATTATCTGAAAGATATAAAAATCTAAATTTCTAACATTTCTTTTGCCTCACAAGATACATTTATGTTATCCAGTATATGGAAACCAAAATGGATTCAGAAGCTACAAAACAATAGTTTCAGTTCTCTGAAAAAGTGGATTATCCGTAGGCTGGCTGTTAAGACCCATTGCTTAGCCTCTTCACTAAAAACATGATAGCTTCAAATCTAGAAGGAATTTCTTTAGCATTCCCGACTTGGTTTGCTCCTGACTGGTTGGTTGTCCTAAAAGCGCTTTTCAATCTGAAAGTTTCAAGGTGAAGGGTCATCAGCAACACTGTAGAGGTTGAAGATATTTACAAGTATTCCACAGAAAGTAAAAGTTGAGCACCTTTCTTTGGGGCTAACGTTGATATCTGCTCTTTCTAGGTTTACCAAGGAAAATACTAAGAAAGGATACTTCAGTATCTTTTATACACAGTGATTTCTGTAGCAATATCAATGTGGTCAATTATTTGAGAAGTTAATTTTGTTATTTCATAAACCTTGGCATCACTGAAAATAGAAAAATAATTCTGAATAATATAACTCTTTTGATATCCATCACTAAATTGCACATTTTGCTTGACTAAGTCGAGCAGCACTAATCTTCTATAATCTCTTTACTAAAAGAAATCTACCTCCCCGAAATAATTGGAAAAAAAATGTTTCTTATTTTCTTATTCATTATGTGTTGGCTAACTCATTCAATTACTGAAAGAATATGATGAACACTCTAGAGCTAATATCTCACTTCAAGTAATTGCTATAAAATGAAAAACTTTATGAAAATTACTTGAGATACTTGCCAATTTTATCTTTCATGTGAGTTTGTTCAAAAATTTTTATTTTTCAAGAGTCTCTTCAGAAATGTATGATTAAAATAAAGCATATTATATATCCCTTCTGACTGATAAAACTATCCAAAATCCACCATGCTGGATAAGAGGTAATTCTAGTTTCTTTATATAACAAAACATACTTTGTAATGCATTTTGGAATTATTATTATATAACATATGTAATACGATGATTAGTGCATAGTATATATTATATAAATAAGTAACTGCGGTTTATATGTTGTAGTTGACATATAATTATTTATAATACATAATATATTAAATTATAATAATTTAGATTAGAATAATATAATTGCCTTTTTATTATTTAGTATATATAATAGTAAATAGTTATTATGATATATTACAAAGATAATTACAAGATATCTTACAGAATAATAATAATAATTTTTAAAAGCTTTTCTAGATTTTAAATTGTCTGTTTATAAATTACATATAACTATTGATGACAAATGCCTGAAGAGAGAGGAAGTGCCTTGGAGAAAGATGTATGAATTGAGACCCAAATCAGTGATGCTAATATAACAATTTTAAATTGCATATGCTCTTAGATTGCCCTTTATCTTTCTCAGTCATCTTCCTCAGTGGTGAAGAAACTAAACTCTTTCATTGTACCGATTTATTAAAACTACAATGCCATATCAATGTATCCAAATAAAATTTAGTTCACGTTAAGAAAAATGTTTTTGTTCTGTTGGATCTTATTACAGAAGCATCAGAAATATGAATACTTTCACTGGATAATTAAGGAAATTATCTTCACAGATGCATGGATAGTGGTCACTTATCCCTGTGAAATGCCATTCATTCTTTCCTTTTTCCCTTTGAGTAATATGTATGTATGTGTGTATGTGTATAAAATCAATATCATCGTCAATATCGACCTTATCTAAAACACTTGCATATTGAAAAATGGTTGCTTCTGAATAGGTCAGGGGTGACCTATCCTCACAAATAACAGATTCCTTTTCTCACAAATAAAAGATTCTCTACAATACTAGGAAACAGAAAATATTAAAAATACTTCAGGCACCAAACATGGTACAGCTACTTTTTTTAAGCTAAGACTCACATATTGTCATTCACATTTCGCATCCATTCCTGTCTCTGGAGCTGTGCTCTGGCCTCATATAGCCCATCCATCGGTTCGGCCACTCGCAGCGTCGGTTCCAGAGGCTTGTAGCGCTGTTCCCACACTTCAGAGACATCGCGGAAGGGTCCCTGACAAGAAAGGGTGAGGTAGATAGTTTGTGATTTATGACCAAGGCTACTGAATATCTACAAAGAATAACAAGTAGTATTTACCAGGTTATTTTTAAAGAACAACTTATTCTTCTCTGAATTAGAAAACACATGAAGTAAGAGCACCACATCTTCAAGAAACGTTCACACAAGTGCAAGTGATTATACCAAAAATGTTTTAAATTAGGCAGAATTTTCCCCACTTACATCAAAAGAGTTTTCATGCTAGAACTAGTTAACTTGTAGTTATAAGAGTTGCTTTGTTTTCTAATTTTAAAAAGCACGTTTCTTATAATTTAAAAAGAATTCGCTCCCATTTTGAGTAAGCAAAAATATTAGAAAAGACCCTGGGCACAGTTTTCAAATAGATAGAAATCAGACGGCAAGTTTTTTTTTTTTTTTCATTAAAATAAAGCTTTTAGGTGAATGCCAAATCTTACATTTAACTGGTGGCCTCCTCGAAAATATAGAAGGGCCATATTTTAAATTATTTTAAGTGTTTTTATTTAAATTCTAAATTCTATTGCTTAATAATACAATACAATAGCGACCATTTAATGACACAAATATATAGCAAAGTCCATAAGTTGCAATGGTGTGAAGGGGTTTACAACATATTCCACCTTTAAATTAGTAGTTACTTATAGTAGTTACTAGAACCCACTGGTTATCTAGTTAGTATCTGTATGAAACACAATACAAATCGGAGGTGGCTCGAGATTTTGCTGTGCCGTCAATTACATTTTGTTTTTGCCACCTTTGTTGTGCAGGAGAGAAGTGATATAAAATAGACAAAGATTTCTAATCATATCCCTCGTCCTTAAAGATCTCTTCTTTAAATAGGTTATCACTAACAAGACGCAGCTGGAGTTACTGCAAGCACTGAGTGAAGACTGGGGGGCTAATAAAAAGAAATGATTCACGCCTCATTTATGTTCACTTATGTTTTACATTAATAGAAACCAATAATAGGAACCAGTTACCATAAAAGTCATGGACCGTAAATAACACAAATGGCAAATAAGTATCATCTAGTACTTTTCACAGCTGGATAGGAGGATTGCTATATCTGAAAGTAGTTAATGGATTTTTATTGGAACTCTACTTTTTAAAGATACAGTAACATGATTCCAAGTTCAGGATTAAGAAATCAAAAGAGGATCTTTTCTATAGATTTTTAATCTTTCACTTTGACAAATTCTGTGGTTTGAAAAATAATATTTGGTTGTGCTATTAGGGGCAAATTACTTCTCTAGACCTCTTCTCCTCGTATATAAGATGGAATAATAACTATCTCACAAAGTTGCCCTTAAGATACATAAGACAATATAAGTAACACTCTTAGCATTGTACTTAGAACCTAGTAAATATGCAAAAATTGTACTCCTAGCTTTATTATTATCTTACTACTCTTACTTTTAGTTTCTAGAGGAGTTTGAAAAAGATTTTGAACAATAGTAGCATCAAGTATATAAACAAAAGACCAAGGCTATGACTTTGAAGGGGCCTGCATTCACAAGGAATAAAGTCTTCTTGGTGGCCAATCTCTGCCGTATGACCTTTGTTGATGCATCAATATAACACGCACCCATTTGAGGCTTACTCCACTACTTGTTCTAGAACTTGCTATCTCCAACAAGATTAGGAAATGAAAGAGGAAGCCCTACTTAAGCAGCAAAATTTAGAATAAAATAGACCCACTCTTCTTTTTTCATTAACTATAATCTTCATGACCACAATCCTCCTTAAGAATGTCCATTTTTCTATGTGTTTCAGTACCTGATCCATACATTTATATCTTAGACAATTAATGTCTTGCCTTTGAGCTTAACAGACCACCTTCCTAGTCAGCAAACTTGGCCTCTACTGTCAAGGTTCTCTTATGCCAAAGCTTCTGTTGACTTCTATTTCTGTTGATAGACTCTTTTAGATCTCAAGTGATCACTTATACCAATCATACCTGGAATGAGATAGCATCCCAAATTTCAGACAAAGCTTCAAACTTCAGCTCTGCTCATTATACTCATTTCCAAATACTAATTCCTAGAATGTGTAGACCATTCAGGATTCAACCTGAGCCTATGAGACTTCGTGGGCTCTTAGCTATAGTTCTCCAATATTTGACTTTCTTTGCCTTCAGTCAAGTCCAATTATGAGTCAATTATATTTATATTCTTCTTTATTTTTAATAACCCACATTACAGTCATCTTGTATTTATAAACTTTTCTCAAAGCTTAAATAAGAGAAAATTTTTAAACTTGCTATTATTGTCTCACACATTTAAGAAATTCACCTCACAAGTGCAGATAGACTGTCAGAGTATAAATAGTATCATTTGGACTGTAGTATATATAATCTCAAATGTCCCCAGTGATGTGGGTACCTTTGTATTATAGATGAGTACAGGAAATGGGGTTCGGTCAAAGAAAACCACATTAAGAATCCCCCATTCTGTGAAAACAGGAAAGGAAAGAAGAAGAAAAAAAAAAAGCAGGGAAGGAAGGGAGAAAAGCAAGAAGTCAAAGATGATAAGAGAGAAGGTGGGAAGAGAAGATGGGAAAGAAGGAAAGGGCAAGGAAACAATTAGCAGGGATAATTATTTTGTGGTATGTTAGATAAATGTACCTTACGAGTACGCATGTGGGTATGTGTACCTGTATATGCATACGTGTATGTATATACACATATATAAAATCTTCCATACAGATGTGTATTCCCCATACATATGAATGCAGACCTTTATATAAATGTATATGTATTTTCCATGTGTCTTTATATTTACACCATTGTGGGTGTAATAAGAAATATAGGGCTTCCCTGGTGGCACAGTGGTTGGGAGCCTGCCTGCAGATGCAGGGGACACCGGTTCGTGCCCTGGTCTGGGAGGATCCCACGTGCCGCGGAGCGGCTGGGCCCGTGAGCCATGGCCGCTGAGCCTGCGCGTCCGGAGCCTGTGCTCCGCGCGGAAGAGGCCATGACAGTGAGAGGCCCGCGTACCAAAAAAAAAAAAGAAATATATTTGGTCTTTGTCCCTGGTTCCTGGCACAGAGCTCCTAAAACCTTTGCAATTTCCCGATGATAGGAGTATACTCATGACAAGAATACACCTGAGTTTAAGCTAATAAGGTGACTTAGGCTGGAGTCCCTAGATAGCCTCTGGGTGAGACTGGTCACCAGAAACACCAAGTGATTAGAAGCTTGGCACTTCCCTCCTCCAGGGAGGGGAGCACTATAGAGACTGAGGGAGGAGAGACAGAGACAGGAAAACAACCAACCATGTGAGTGACCCTGGTAGAGGATCTCCCTCCCCTCCCCTCCTTCCTCCACAGCTGAGCTTTTATATGAAGTCACGGTCCCGGCTGACACCTTGACTGCAACTTCATGAGAGATCTTGAGTCAGAGGCACTCACCTAAGCTGTACCCACAACGCTGACCCACGGAAACTGTGAGAAAAGAAACGTGTGTTGGTTTAAGCCATCAGGCTTTATACATAAATATAATATAATTTATTACACAGCAGTAGATACACAGAGGCAAGCCTGTGTAAGAAGCTAACAGGCAGCAGTTCTGGGGGGTGACAGAACTGCTCTCTGGGGGTGACAGAAGTGTTGCTCTCTGGAACTTTTAGGACAGTGACAATCATCACAACCCATCCCACTCCATCCTTTAGCCCTAGGAAGTCATTTGCCAATCATGCTATACTCTAATCCATAGTGAAGATTTGTCTTTGCTTGAGTTTTGCATTGTTTTGGGCCCTCTCTAATTCTCCAACTTATACTTTTTAAATGACTCCCATGCAAATTATGTTTACAAATGTATAGAACCATATGAACCATCAGATGAGAGGCTAAATTAAATAAATTTGATAATACATAGGATTTTTCTAGCAACAACAGGTTATAACAAGTACAGTTATTACAGTATTGTTACATAAAAAGGCTACATCCTAGCCAAAAATCCTACGTGTTAATTTTACACCCAGAACAATAAAATTCAATACCAAGGAAATATTTATTTCTTTGATATATATTTTAAATGTACTTCATTTTTATTATTTAAAATTAGATTCTGGGGAATTCCCTGGCAGTCCAGTGGTTAGGACTCAGCACTGTCACTGCCATGGACCACATTCAATCCCTGGTCAGGGAACTAAGATCCCACAAGCTGCACAGCACAGCTAAAAAAAAAAAAAAAAAAAAAAAAAAAATTAGATTCTGTAAAAAAAATAATTTTCTTTTCACAAAGACAAAACAATAACTTTTTAAAAAAAACAGAAAGAATACGATCACTGACACAATTCTTATGTATGTATACATATAGCTGATTCACTTCATTGTACAGCAGAAGCTAACACAACATTGTAAAGCAACTATACTCCAATATAAAAAGAAAAAAGTGAATAATAAAAGTACGAAGACAGAAAAGTTAAACTGAAAAAAAAAAAAGATTAATGAGTACCTGACATCGTTTCCTATCAATGGGTGGCAGAATTCCGGACCGAGGAAAGGACCGGGCACTTGTGCAAGCCAGCCAGCTGCTAAGGCTGACGGAGTGCTTCGGCTTCACTTTAGGTCTTCGGTGTGTTAAAGGCTTTGCCTGCTGTAACCGCAACTCCCATGGATCAGGATCTTTTCTGAAAGGTGAGTTGTATATACCTGGAATCTAAAGAAGAACAACATCATTTTTATTATTATTTTTTTTTGGCGGTACGCGGGCCTCTCACTGTCATGGCCTCTCCCGTTGCGGAGCACAGGCTCCGGAGGCGCAGGCTCGGTGGCCATGGCTCACGGGCCCAGCCACTCCGCGGCACGTGGGATCTTCCCGGACCAGGGCACGAACCCGTGTCCCCTGCATCGGCAGGCGGACTCTCAACCACTGCGCCACCAGGGCAGCCCGTCATTTTGATTTTTATCCTTCATTTTCACATAGAATAAAGGGAAGATAAAGTTGTACCATACAAATTTTCATATGTTTAAGGACTATGTTAAACTACAACTCTAGTTCTTAACTAGAGGTGGACTTTAGATTAGTCTAAGGATATTACAAAATACACTTTGTCTCCAGACCAACAATTTCAGAATGATTCATGGCTGAAGACTAAACATGTTAAAAACAACTAATAGAAACTAGAGTTTCTATCTGCTACACATGGCATATTTGATATAATTGTATTTGAGAAAAAAATAACAGGACCTTAAGGCATTCATTTTGTATTCTAACCATTAACTATGTATATATATACTTAACTAGCTCTGTAAGTCATACGTTCACTCACACAAACTCAAATATATAATGCTTGAACCACTTTCAGGTACAAACTATGAACTTAATAAATATTTGATTATTTGAAAGATTATTCATTATACAGCCTAATTAATGGCCGCCATTTTAAGTTCTTTAAAATAATAAACTGGTATATATATATATATATTATATACAAACATACACGTGTGTATATATATGTATGTGTATACATATGTATACAATCATTCAAAATAACACCCTGTGTTTAATGAGTTGCATTCACATGGTTAGGTGCATTATTTCTATATCATCACATTACCCTTGCTGTCTATCACTGACCTTGTCACACACTGCATCAAAATAGTCCAGACTTATTTAACACAGTGACTGCTATGCAATGGAGGTTCAATAGATGTATGCAGGATAAATGTTAAATTCAGGTTTAGCACATTCCACTTTCTGAAAATTCAATGATCTTTGAATATACAAACTGCTTAGAACTATATTTTTATTCCTTTCCTATATACAAATGCATATTCATGAAGAAAAGCTATATTTTAAACGATAGGATGACTTGTTTAGTTGCTCTGTAGACATTCTAGACTAATGTAAAGAATGTATCCATTAAACCTCTCTGGTTTTTCCTAAAAATCTGCTTTTCTCTCATGCCACCATCATATCCATAAATATTTCTGGTTGTTATATTTACCTCTTGGAATAAGCAAGTCCAAAGTATTATGACTACCTACGGTAGTTGTCTTTGAAAAACTATCCTAGGAAATTTTATATTTCTAGCCTAACTCCTCAGTAAGTATAAACCTCTATCTAATACCAACTCAGGCTAGATTCCGTGTCCTATCCCCAATGCTTCCTTAATAGCCTGGGGACAACTCTATCACACTACTTATTACATTGTTTCAAAATTATCTTTGTGTGTGTCCATCTTCCCTAAGCAAGCCGCTGGAGCACAGGGACTCTATTTTAGGTATTTTTGCATCTCCAGGGCCTAGCAAAGTGCTTAACACATAGTAGACACTCAAAAAATGAATGCTAAATGCTTATGTAGAAAAACAATGCACTGTTCAGAAAGGCCCATAAAGTCTCTATTTTACTCTTACTTTCTCGAGCCGCATAAATATTTTAGTAAAATGTTTGAGTTTATTTCAAAATCTGATTGACTTCCTTCAAAGTTATAGATTATATCCTTTTCATCTTTCTTAACACTTCAGCTTTAATTTGCTTTTGAATACACTGTGATCTAGAACTAAATTATCACAGACCCACTGAGTCATCTCCAACTCAAATTTTTCCTACGCTAAGGAAAAAGTTAATGTAAATATATTTACCTATTTAAATTTTTTCTTGAATTGGCTCTTCTTTGAGACTTTTTTCCCTATACAATTTACATAAGATAAAAGTATTGGAAACATTATAGGCATTGTATAAGCCATTTTGAATGTCATGTTAACATTCGCTTACTATAATACTAAATACAGAACAAGGTGGACATGTAAACAGATATTTTTAATGATGTTAATATAAGAAAATTAATACACATACGTATTCAAAATAGCTTTTGGTGAACAGTAATTTTTAAGTGGATGGTAATTTTTAAGATGAGTTTTTGGGGTGATTTTCTAAGATGAGACTATATCAATTGTAATGAGAGAAAAACAATATTATACTAATATTATACTAAATATTATACTAAATAGATATTATACTAAAAAGACTATTATTATTATACCAAATATTATACTAAAAAGACTACTCTGACATAAAATAGAACTAAATCTACATAGTCTATGAAAGAGATATAAGAGAATACCATCCTGTTTAGTGATGATCTAATTAACTGAAGTCTGTTAGTTTATCATTTCCATAATCTTACAGATTAAAATGGTAAAATGCATACAGTATAACTAGATTATAATTTACCATTTTAAAATATCTATCTACCTGAGTAACTGCTACCAGCTATTAACTTTACCCCCATTAGAAATCTTCCTTGATCTCCTTCACATTTGCATGCACATGTATACATAGGCTAGATGGGAAATGCAAATAGATCAGTAGACATGATAGCTTTCTTAAATTATATTTTGCAACCTATATGGAGATCTCCTCATGTGTATTCTCTTTGCAATTTAAATCATATATAGATAGAAAATATATTTTAATTGAATGGAAAATGTATCATTTAAAATCTTCAAGGTGTCAGTATTTTAGAAATTAATTTAATACATTTGGCTAACTTTTGTCAATGAAAACGGTCCAGTCCCCCTCAATCCCTACAGCAAGCAGAGACCCTATCTACTTACATTAATATAGTATCCATTTAATTATTATTTCTTTAAGTTAACAAAACAACCCAAACTATTGTCTCAATTGCTATATTTCATTAATTTGTAAGCCACTTTGTGAATAATGGTTTGCTATGGATTTTTAAAAAAGTATTACTATGAGTCACAGAAGACAAAGTTAATCCTCGGGGACTATGACATATTTTTCCGTTTTCACATTTTTCACAACTTAGAAGGGCTAATGCCAAGCTAGCTTTGGGGACTTCATTTTCAGCAATAATTTTCTAGAGTGACCAACACTATGGGGAAATCTGTGCTAACTGTTTAAAAAAAAAAAAAAAAAAAGAAGCCTACAACTGAGTTATTTGCAGTACTGTCATGCTAACATTCAACTCAATAAGACCCAAGAAATCTCAGGAGAGGACTCTGCTAATAGCTTCTTACTGACCTCCCTGTATCAGGCCCGGCTGCTGACTGGTGGCCCAGTGGTGAATACAGCAAATGAGGTGTGAAAGCACTGATTTTTTTTAAAGGCTATGATTCTGACTCGTCAAAATGAAAGGAAAAAAAAAAAAAAAGGCAGTGAGTTATATAATAGATATATATTTTTCTTGAATTTCTCCCCTTCAGACCTTCCATCATGGGAACTTAAGCATGACCTAGAATATTAATTATGCCAGGTTGAACAGCGAGCAAATGTACCATTTGTTACCCGGTCACCCTTAGCATTACATTAATATTTTGAACCATTCCATATTTCTAACAATCTATCATATCAGTTGGCTCTTTTCTTCTCAGTTTTTATTCTTCTACTGAAGTATTCTAAGGGAAAGTACTTTAAAAAATGCAGTTGACTTGAAAACAAATGGATATACTTGCTATATTTGGAGCATCTACTGCTGTATTTCATGAAGAATGTTTTTATGGTCATTTTCCACTCATACACTGACCTTTATTTTGTAATTGCCTGCGGGAAGCCATAGTCTAATTTTTTCTCTTCTCTTTGTTATTGAGGTTTACTTTTAAAACGAGTTTCTGTAAAATAAAAAGAATTTGAAACAGGACCGGGTACACCTATAATCCCCATAGCACAATTACTAGTGCTTCAATTTCAGATTTTATCAGATTAGAAACAGTAATTTCTCATGATTTCAAAGTAACTGCTTATTCCAGGGATGAAGAAACTCTACAGGGTATGAGGGAGAATTCAAGTTTTACTTTCGCAAATGACAATTACACAGCAAACAGGAGTCACTGATTGCCACAAAAAGAAACAAAATTAAAAAGTATTTTCTTCATATGCACATTACTATATATAAAATAGCTGAACAACGAGGACTACTGTATAGCACAGGGAACTATACTCAATTTTTAAAAAAATTTTTTATTGAAGTGTAGTTGATTTACAATGTTGTGTTAGTTTCAGGTGTACAGCACAGTGATTGTTATTTACATATATATATATATATATATTATAAAATATTGAGTATCTTTCCCTTCAATATCTTGTAATAACCTATAATGGAAAATAATATGTATAACTGAATCACTTTGCTGTACACTTGAAACTAACACAACATTGTAAATTTTACTATACTTCAATTAAAAAAAGATTTAAAAAAAGTATTTTCTTGCCCCATGAACCAGATTTTATGAATATCATGAGAGATGAACAATTCTAAATGGCGGGCTGTCTAAAATATGTTTGAGTTCTAAGTTTTAGTACAAAATGTTTTTAAAATATAAGACACTAGGCAAGCACAGAAGAGTAGTAAAGGTCTCTAATAACTAGAAAAGTGGAAGTGGGCCAGGGAACTGAGAATGAAATATTTGCCGGGGTGGGGACTGCTGAATCAACACTGACCAATGCTCTTCATCATCATTATCGGGACATACTAGTGCCAGGGGATTTATAAAAATCCCACTCCACAAATAATTGCCCTGCCGTTAGGAGACAGAGTGTTAACACACTGTCACAGGCCAGCGTTTAGTAAGATAGTCTACGTTCAATTACTCTTGCTGAGAACTAAAAGGAAACATGGTCATTTCTCAGATACAGACGACAGTCAAGTTAACCCTCAGATACAGCATCCCAGAAGGAATAATAATTTCATG